AATTATGTCCTCTAGGGGACGTGGACGTAAAGGGACATAAATTTTATATGCTAAATACTTTAGGGACCCATCTTTACCCATAGTATCTGGTGTCTCTTCCTGCAAGTTACCGATAGTCCGGTTTGGGTTAGAGGTTTCCTTTACAGAGTTCTATTTGCCATAATAGGTACTACCCCCCAGTTTTCTCTTTCTCTTCCCCTTAAATATCCCCAGTTAGAAATAGAACTTAACATATAATAATGATACTAATGGAGCAAATGCACATTAGCCTCGACTCACCTGAAATGGCAGTTGATAGCGTCAAGCCAATATGGGGGTAAAATCTGATAACAATCCATGGTGGTCTAGAGTAGTTCATAAATAGTAATTACCTATAAAAACATATAAGATACATATGTGAATTAGAAAGGTAGTCAACGTTGGGTAAGGCCTTGCTAGTCGAAATAAAAAAAAAATATATATATATATAATTTTTTAATTTAAAAAAAAAAATCTCAAAAAAAATTTTATAAAGAAAAAAAATTTAACTTTAGTAAAAAAAAAATTAATATTATAAAGTTTTATATAAAAAAATAATAAAAAAATAATAAAATATAAATAACAAAAAAAACAAAAAAAATAAATAATTTAAAAGTTTTTTATTAATTTAAAAGTTTTTTTATTAATTTAAAAATAATAAAGTTTATATATTTTTTAATAAAATTAGTTTTTTAATTAATAATATAAGCAATAAATATTATTTATTTATTTTTTTTTAAAAAATATATTTTATTATTTATTTTTATAATTAAATCTAAAAAATCTATAGTATTTAGAAGTTTATAGTATAATAAAAGTACTTATAAAAAGAAAATTAAATATATATATATATATAGTGAATTGTCAAAAATTTATGAACACTTTTATTTTTTTAATTATACAATATTTATTTTGATAATTATATATAAAAATATAATGATATATTTATTTAATATTGTTAATTAAAAAAATTTTTTATTTATTTTATATTTTTCTTTCTAAATTTTGTATAATCATTAATATGAATATGAGAAAAGAACTAATACCTAAATAAAAATTGGCTATAATTTATGGTTTTAAAAAAAAATATTTGTATTATATTATTGCAGCTTATGTCAGATATAAAAAATCAATTGTGGATAATATTATAAACAAGTTTATTAAAACCAAATTTATAGAATTATAATCCCGAACTGGATAACTATAATTTCTTAACGATTGTATTTGTATTACTTTTAAAAAACTTGTTATCAATAAAAAAAATCAGGTTTTGTGCAATACAGAATTAACAAATCTTTTTACATCAAAAATAGAAATTAAAGTATTTAAAAGAACTATTTATCAAACTTTATATTATGAAAAGATAAAATCTTGCATTGTCTATTTTAAACTACTTGTCTCTGAAAAGAATATTGAAGAAAGATTTACTTAATATCTTAAGTAAAGATGGGTCCCTAAAATATTTAGCATATAAAATTTACGTCCCTTTATGTCCACGTCCCTAGAGGACATAATTCCTAGCTCTTTACTTCAATAGGGACATAATTCCAGAAATGATTTGTATAGATGCTTAAAACTATAAAGAACCTTTGTAGGTAGTTTTTTTTTATTCCTTAATATAAAAATAAAAATTTTTAATAGTAAGGGACATTTGAATTATGTCCTTACAAATAATTTAGGGACCCATCTTTAGTCTTAAGTATAAAGACTGATCTATTTATGACTTCAAAAAGCTAATCTGAAATAATAAATCTACATTTTTTTAATTTCAACAAGGAAATAAAAACCATATATGACATAAATTATATAAAAAATAGAATGTTAACTGTTTTTTTGCTACAGTTAGCTATAGTCCAAGTCATATATAATAGAGGTGTTTCTTGTAATTTGATACTAACTTTCTCATTTCTTTTCATATATTAGTTATAGATAAGAAAAAACAAAATAAAAATAAAAATAAAAACAAAATAAAAATAAAAATAAAAATAAAAAATAAATAAATAAAAATAAAATAAAAATAAAAATAAAAATAAAATAAAAATAAAATAAAAATAAAATATAAATAAAATATAAATAAATAAAAATAAATAAAAAATAAAATAAAAATAAAATAAAATAAAAATAAAATAAAAATAAAATAAAAATAAAATAAAAATAAAATAAAAATAAAATAAAAATAAAATAAAAATAAAAATAAAAAACAAAATAAAAAAAATAAAATAAAACAAAATAAATAAAATAAATAAAAAATAAAATATAAATAAATAAAAAATAAATAAAATAATAAATAAAATAAATAAAATAAAATAATAAATAAAATAAAATAAATAAAATAAAAAAATAAAAAAAATAAAAAAAATAAAAAAATAAAAATAAAAATAAAATCAAAAAAAATAAAATTAAAAAAAAAAAATAATAATAAAAGTTTTTACTATTTTTTTAGGAAAATTCTATATCAAAACTTTTGAAAAAAATCTTTTGCCAACTTTTTGTAATTTTTCATAACAAATTGGATTGATGCAGGTCAGCCTTGATTTTAATATAATAATATAAGACTATATATCACAAAAATTATAAAAAAGTTTCTTGCTAAAAAAAATATTTGGGTTATGAACTAACCTTTACAAAACTCAAATCTTAATCTTATTAAAAATCTTTAATATATAATTAAATATCATCTTAAAAAAGTTATATCTAAACCTTAGAACTTAATAAAACTTGAGCAATATATTAAAAGATATTGGAATAAGATAAGTTTAAAAGATTATTATTAATTAATTAAAAATATTTCATATCATATTACAGCTTAATTATATTTTTAATTTTACTTAAATGATTAAAATTTTATTGATTTTCTTCTAGCTACAATTAATATATAAATATTTTATTATATAAAATTTTTTTTTTATATTTAAAAAACTTTTTTACTGAGTTTTAAAAAGTGTCTATAAACTTTTAACAATCTATTATATATTTTAAAGATTTTTAAAGATTTAAAAAATTAAAAAATAATTTTTTTTTTAATTTTTATATTTATAATTAATTAAATTTTAAAGAAAATAATATATAATTTAAAAGAAAAATAAATGATAAAAATTAAATTTAATATAAAGTTTTAATAAATATTTTAATATTATTTGTTTTAATAAAAATTGAATAATATAATTAATTATATATGATAAAAAAAATATATATTATTAATTATAATAATTTTTGAATTTTGTTTAAATTAAAAGTAATATTTTTAATAATAAATAAAATAAACAATAACAATAATAATTTGTTTTATATTATAAAATATATTTCTATTTTTAATTTTAATTTTTTTTAAAAATAATTTTTATAAAAAAAATAATATAATTTATATTTATAATATAGAATATTAAAATAGTTATAGGCGACCTGTGGGTCAATAGCACAGTGGTTAGTGCTCCACAAGTCAGATCACAAGATATCAGTTCAATCCCATGTGAAGGTGATTGAATAGAATTAATATAGTATCCGGCACCATAACCAGTTACGTGTCGTTTCTCATAAGAAGCCATTTCATATGCCGATCCGGTAGGCGTTAAGATTGTGATCTCCAGAAAAGGAGTCATGGTGTGACGATCGTCTGGTTGGTGCTACGATGATCGCCAGAAGTTGGACAACAAAAAGGTGTAGAAGGCATCCGGTTTGAGAAAAAGATGGCTTGGTGATCGCCTCCCCGTGGTACCTGGTGTCTCTTCCTGCAAGTTACCGATAATCCAGTTTGGATTAGAGGTTTCCTCTACAGAGTTCTATTTGCTATAATAGGTACTACCCCCAGTTTCCTCTTTCACTTCCCCTTAATATATCCCCGGTTAGAAATAGAACTTAATATATATAATAACGACACTAATGGAGCATATGCACGTTAGTTTCTGACTCTCCTGAGATGGTTAGTTGATAGCATCAAGCCAATATGAGGTAACCAAAACCCGATAATAATCCACGGTGGTCTAGAATAGCTCATAGATAGTAATTACCTGTGAAAACATATAAGATACAGATGTGAACTAAATAAAGGGTAGCCAATGTGGGTGAGGCCCTGCTAGTCGAAATAAAAAAAAAAAAAAAAAAAATAGTTATAGGCTTTAATCTTATTAAAAAACTTAAATTTTTTAAATTTATTTAATATTCAATATTTTATTTTATAAATTATATATAAAGATTTGTATTGTTAACAAGTAGATTAAATTAAGTAAATTTATATTGTATATATAATAGAATAAATTTTATTATTTTTAAAAACTATATTACATAGTTAAAGTCGATATAATGGACTCTCGATATAATAGATACTAAGTAAAATCTCAATATATCGGATTGATATTGAGAATGGATTATAATATTTTATCCACTATACTGAATTTCTTCGTTATAACGGATTTTTAAAAATTTTTATTAATGGAACTGACTAGTTCGTTATATCGACTTTCATTGTATATAATAAAATTATTAATTAAATAAAATAAATTATTAATCAAAATTTTTTTTATAATAATACAATTACTTGTATAATTTATACAATATATTTATATCTTGTATTTGTAATGATTCAATATGATTTAAATTAAGTTATATGCTTATTCCATACATTTCAAGTTAATTGCAACTTAATATAACAATTAATTTTTAATAAAATATGTAATAAATATTTATTTTATCATTTCAAAAGTATAGAAGAAATTTTTATCAAAAAATTTTTTCAAAAATATAAATAATAACCTTAAATGAAAAACAATAAAAATATTTTTATTAGAAAATATATATTAAATTTTTTGTATACTAGTTTTTGAAATTTTTAGATGATTAACTATATAATTTTGATCGGAGGTTACTTTCCATAGTGACTGTATGTGAGAAATGTATTATTTACAATCATTGGTGATTCAATGATGTTTAGAAATGTGAAACAAATTGCAAGCTTTAAAGTCCTAGCCAACCAGTTAATGTCTTAATTACTGTTGTATCGCGATCCCATTCACCTTATTACCAGCATCAATATAATCATTATAATTATAGTCTTTAGGAATTGGCGGAGAAATCAACACCGGTTTCTCGTGCTCCGATTCAAACTGCCATCGTTGTTTGGAGTTTTCTGAACCAAACATGGTGAGACATCCATTTTTTCCATCATCCTTGCTGCCATTTTTCTTATGTTTTCTCGACCCATTTTTAACATCGCCTTTGATTTTTGTCAATTCATCTTTGATAAAATTATTATGCTCTTTGTGATGTACTAAAACGTATGCACCCTCATTTTTTTCATGCCCGAAATGACCGCCGACGTGCAATACATAGCGATCGTCACTCAGCAGAGAGATGTAGCCATCCACATGACCTATCCACCGTTGGTAGCCAGCATTTTGTAAGCTTTTACGATCATTTTGGCAAAGGTGAGTGCCATGTACTTTACGTATGCGATCTGGAAAACAAGAAAACTAATTTTTTAAAAAAAATATAGAGTAAAACGTACGCGGTATAAAAGAAAATTTTTATTACCTCCTTTAATATCTAAAACCTTTCCTGATTCCTTGTTAATAATAAACCCGTTCTCATATCTCCAAAGCTAGTACATAAAGAATCATACATAGAAGAGTTTAAAATTCTGATTAAAGTTCGTGAAATTGTATGGACGAGTAATTTGTTCTTTACCTGGGTGTCGGCATCAAAGCCAAATCGTTGTGTGCTTAAAACGATCTTTACACCGGAATTTAATGATAAACTCTGTGGTTCCAATACGCCACCATTTATAGGAGATTTTATGTAGAACCAACCTTTTATTTTATTTTATAAAGGTAAGAATTCATGTATTTATTGAATAACTAAAAGTTTTATATGCAATTACCTTTAGGAAATACTGAATCATCAATCTTACTATTAGAAACATTTTCTTTACGTTCACTGTCGTTTTTATTTCCATTTTTCGATGGACGTAATATAGAAGTAAAAAAGTCTTCAAGGGATTTATGGTAATTGTGTTTTGACATTGTCGTTATTTGAGGATGAAAATTGTATTACAAAAAAAAAATAATTGTGAGAGAATCCAGATAGCAATTGTATGAACGACATGATTTTATAGAATTTCTGGAGACACACTAAAACGCATATAGAATATAATTGTTTGTTTGCATCAGGATTGCGTATTTTGTGTAATGCCTCGTTTATAACGTGACCGGTTCCATCGAAGTCTTCCAAACTCGGTTTCTCTGCCCGTGCGTCTAACAAAAAAGTATTCATGCACGGTGTACTCCGAATCGAAATCAAACGAATAGTAGTGATTGATTTATATACCATATTAATTTTTATTGCTTAAAACCTTAAATTTCATATTTATTTTCTTATCGTAGTGATTTAAAAATTTTAAGAAACAGAAATTTGATTTTATATTTAAAATAATAACTATCATTACATTGTAATTAAAAAAACCGTGAATTTGAAATGGGTTGGTACACAGCAAAACCATGCTTAGAGACAATTTGAAATATAGACGATTATAATCAAATTTATATTGAACATATAAAAATAAAAAAACTGAGTGCAAGCTTGTACACTAAAAATCTCAATTTTGGTTAAACCTTTCTAAGCCCCGCTTTGCTAATGTAACAACCCCAAATAATTAATTGTATGCTTTTAACAAAGTAATTGTTACAGGTTATATATTACAAATATTGAGATATAAATAGATAAGAAATGTCATGGTTATTTTTAGTTTTAATGTTTTCACTTTGCATTATCGTTATTTGATCATCAGTTGATCTTGTTAGATATGGTAATTGAGATTTTTTTTTTTACAGGCATTAAATGCGAGGCTATATTAAACTTTCGTTATTTACCAGGTAATTGAGATTTTTTTTTAAAGTAAAAAAATATTAAAAGTAATGTTTTTAATAATTTTTTATAATATAATAAATAAATAAATAAATAAATAAATAAATATTAGATTTTTAAAATCAATTATTATAATTTTATAATTTGTTTTTTTGTAGATAAACATTATTTCTTTATTTAATTTGTATATATTACAGAAAATACATTGTAAAAGAAACAATATTTTTTATATATTAATATAATAAGTTAAATATTAGCTTGTTTATAGTAATTACATAATTAATATTGAAAAGAAATTTTGAAATAATATATACTGTTAAATAATATAAATATTTACTTAATATTAAAAAAAAAATAATTAAATAATATAATATTAAATTATAAATATAATTGTTTTTTATAAAAATATTAATTAAATAAAATTTATTGTTATTTAATATCTTAGTAAAATTAATTTTAATTATATTATAAAAAGTAATTATTTAAAAATATAAACATTTTTTTGTTATAAAATTATTTCAATTTGATATTTTTTAACTATATTTAATCAATTTTAATAATTTTTTTTTTACAATAATTTAAATCAATATTTATATCTTTAATATACAGTTTGTTTAAAAAGTTTTTAAACAAATTTTTAATTTATATTTATATTTATAATTCAATAAATACTTAATAAATAAATAATAATTTTGAATATATAATAATAATAATATAAAAATAAATTTACTTAATAAATTTTTATTAAAATAATCAAAAAAAATTTTTTTTAAAGTATTAATTTAATTAACTTATAATAAATGAATAAATAAATTATATACAATAATTTTAATTTATTGATTTGTAAAATAAAACTAAAATTAAATAAAAAATAACTTTTAATTGATTTTAAACTAATTAATTGATTTTTAATTAAATAAATTAACCTATAATTTAATAAAATATATATAATTTTTTAAAATAAAAAAACAAAAAAATTTTTATAAAATTAATTTGCACATTATAAAAACATTTTATATTTTTTTATTAGTTAAATGTTTTTTTTTTAATTTTATAAATATGTTTTTTAAAGAATTTTTATATAGTAAAAATTATTTTTTTCAACCATAATTATATATAAATATTCATATAAAAATTTATTAAAATTTTTAATCAAATTTTTTTTAGTTTAAAAAATTAAATTTTTTAAGATAAATTTATTAATAAAGTATTAAAAAAACTTAATATATATTTTTTTATATTCTAAAAAATATATATTTAAAGTTTTATATTAAATACATTAATATTATTATAAGAATATAATTTTTTAATTGAAAATATTGTTATAAAAAATATTTGTCCAGACTTTTTAGACAAAGTGTATTATATAATATATATTATGTAATGTTTTCAAAATAGAATAAAGATTAATTTTAGCATTCATAAAAAATTTAAAAAAAATTATAACTCACTGTATGTCGTACCTAATTATTTTAATTTGATCAAGAATAAAAAGAAAAATTAAAAAAAATTAAAGATTAAGTATCTGTAAATTTTTTTATCAAAGTAATAATTATATGCTATCTTTACATCATTTTGAAATTATGCGATAATGAATTCTAAGTGATATAATCAAAAACGGAAGTCAATTATTATACAAATATGCATTTGAAGTGTAAAATTATATCACATATAGAGGCTTTTGTACATATTAAAATTAAACAAAAACGGTTTCTTGCCAAAGTTGGCTTCAATCACGATTCCACGATCTCGTAAGCCCACCATTGGATAAAAAATTTGATTAAATATTGTATACGCGGCACCTGTAAAGACAGTTTCATTCGGTAAATAAATAAATATCCATGAAGTATCAAGAATAAGATACATATAGTATTTTTAAATATAACAAAATTAACCTAGATTTATTCCATTTTTTGTAAAGAACACGCTTCGATCTATGTAGTTTATTCCACACCCTATGACATCCCCCGTACCATAAGTTGCCCCGACATAGAATTCGCCAAAATCGGATTTACGAAACTTCAGACCATCATCACCATGATATCCGATTGTGTCATATCTGTTATGGAACCATCCTAAAATTGAAAACAAATCATACGTGACTAACTAAAAAACGGTGGTTGTCAAAATCAATTTTTAGTTACCTGGAATTTGTCGTATAGGTGTCTGTCTCTTACCAAGTCCAATTCCTATTATTCTGAAATATTTAGAATTCACGAATTATTAATGATCCTTAATGTTTTGAAAGCATTTTAAACTATGTTATTACCCTAATCCCCCCCTCCATCTAGAGTCATCTATTATATTAATTTCAAAATAACCTATACCCATCTCAGATCGTATAGGATGATTTGTTCTCAGCGACGCGGAATCAAAATCTCTAGCGCCCGGACCTAAAAATAATAAATAGACTTACTGAGTTGTATCTCAATTCATAAAGGTGTCTTTGATTTGAAGTGTCACTTAAATAAAACGGAAATAAATTAAAATGGTTTGTCGAAATATTTCTGATTAATAGACACATACCAACATAAGTGACTGTTAACAAATCTTCATGAATATGCAAGTATTTACTGGCGTCTTCTCGATTCCAATGCATGGATACCAACGGTTGAGATCCATTTTGTGAGTCTGAAAGGTTTGCTGTGAAGTGCAAATGAATAAATGGAGTAAAACAATCTGACGGAAAACTAACTTATCAGCAAAATTTTTTATAAACCTTCAGTCATTCCTCGTAAGTTTGTGTCGTAAACAAATCCGTCCTCGTTGGATTTCGGAGTGTATTGACACGTTACAGTCACGAATAAATTATTTATAACGGAGTTTATATACTAAGCAATCACATGACTTCTTTTCAATTTTAAATACTGTATAAATAAATAATATACAGTATATATATAAAGTTAGACTCGAAATATTACCTTACTTATTAAATTTTAATATATTGTAACCTGAGAATTGAAATGAAATCAAATACTTTCAAAAAATATTTTGAAACTTTATAACTTTATTTAATTAATAAATAATTTAAAAACACTTTTTTTTTAATTATTTTTAACTTAATATTATTTTAACTTAATATTTAATTAAAATACAGTTTAAATTATATATTTTGTTAAAAAAAACAAAAAAAAACATATTTTTACTTCCTTTCTTTATATTTGAAATTTTTTTCTTTAAAAAATTTTTAAGTTATTTACTTTATTATTATTTTTTTTTTTTCCTATCTTTTACTTTTATTTTTTTATAATTTTTATTTATTTTTTTTTTTTATCCTATTTTTTTACAAGTCTATTTTTTAAATATTTATACTTTTTCTTTTCTTTTTTATTTTTTTTATCAAAGTTAGGTTTTTTTTTTTCTTTGAAGATTTTTTCCTTTCTAAATCTTTTTTTTTTGCCAAAATTAGATTTTTTTCTTCTCTCTAAAAGTTTTTTTCTTTTTAAATTTTTTTTTTTTTTTTAGCAATTTCTATTTTCATATTATTAACTTCTTTTTTTTTTTTCTAAAAATTATATTAAGAAATAATAATCTTTTATAAAAAATAGATTTTTTAAGATTATTTTTTTTATAATTTTTCAAAAAAAAAGAATAAATAATTTATCTTTTTTAAAAAATTAATATAATTATATTATCAAATCTAATATTATTTATTTATTGATATATCTAAAAAACTATTATATAACTATTATTATTTAAAACTTCAAAAAGCTATATTTTATAAATAATCAAAATTATAAATAATAATCAATATCAATTTAATACTCTTGCAGATATTATGACCTGTGGATCCATAGTATAGTGGTTAGTGCTCCACAGGTTAGATTATAAGATATCAGTTAATTTCATATGAAAGTGATTGAATAGAATTAATATGGTATCCGGTACCATAGCCAGTTATGTGCCATTTCTCATAAGAAGCCATTTCATATGTTGATCTGATAGGCATTAAGATTATAATCTCCAGAAAAGAAGTCGTGGTGTGACAATCATCTGGTTGGTGCTATGATGATCGCCAGAAGTTGAACAACAAAAAGGTATAAAAGGCGTCCAGTTTAAGAAAAGATGGCTTGGTGATCGCTTCCCGTGATATCTGGTATCTCTTCCTACAAGTTATCGATAGTTTGGTTTGGGTTAGAGATTTTCTCTACAGAGTTCTATTTGCCATAATAGGTACTACCCCCCAGTTTTCCTTTCACTTCCCTTTAAAACATTCCTGGTTAGAAATAGAACTTAACATAAAATAACGATACTAATGAAGCATATGTACATTAGCCTTGATTTATTTGAGATGATAGTTAATAGCAAAAAGCCAATATGGGGATAAAATCCGATAATAATTCATGATGGTCTAGAATAGCTCATAGATAGTAATTACCTGTAATATATGTAAGATATATATGTGAACTAAATAAAAGCCAACGTTGGATAAGGCCCTACTAGTCAATAATAAAAATATAAAAAAACTCTTGCAGATATTATATTAATAATTAAAGTATCTAATAAGATAATATGTAAAAATTAGAGATTTTATTATTCTTACAAATAGAATTAATAATAATAATAAAATTTTCTTATTTACTTTTTAACAATATAAATTATTTGTATAAGATTAAATATTAATATCTATAAGAAAAATTCTTTTCTTTATATTTAAACTAAAGTTCTATTATTATTCAAGAACCTTTTTTATTTTTAACTTGAAAATAAGATTTTATTCAAATACTTAAATAATAACTTTAAAAGTATAATATACTTTCTTAAGCATAATTACTGTCTCTTTTTTATCTTAAGTTTTAATAATAAATTTAATAAAAAAATTAATACTAGATATATTAAATAAAATATAATTTTATTTTTATAATAATAAAGATAATTCTCTTTTTTTTATTTAAAGTTTTAATAAAGAATTCATTAAAAATATATATATATATAATATATTAGATAAAATATTAATTTTATTTAAATATCAATTTAAAAAAATAACTATTCAAATATTTAGCAAAAAAAAATTTAATTGAAATTCAAAAAAGTTTAATATCGAATTTTTAATTTTGCCTATTTTATATTAAGTCAATTTTAAAAAGTAAGTACATCAAATCCTAAGTATAACTTGGAAAAAAATCTGTATATTTGATTATAATGCCTTATATATTTAGATATTATATTATTCTATTCATATTATAACATATTTTTGAAATTATTTTTCTTTACTTTATATAATAGTTTAAAACTAAATAACTATTAAGCCTATTTAAAATAAGAAATAGATATTATTTTATATTTAATTTATACTTATCCAAGTTATTAATAAATAAAAAAATAATAAAGGATTTATTACTTTAATATATACAATATATAAAAATTTTATATTTTATTAAATTTTATAAATATTAATACAATTAATATAATTATTTTATAAAATTTTAAAATTAATCAATAATAAAACAATTTATATTATATATATAATTTGTATTTTATTCAATTATTTTATTTTTTAAAAAAAATAAACAAATAAAAAACAAAAAAATTTTTTAAATAAATATATATCTTTAGTTTAATATTTACAGGAGTAAAAATATATAAAAATATTTTTTATTTGTGAATTTACTGATTTTTCTATAAATATTATATTCAAATATTTGAATCTTAATTAAATTTAATTAGGCTATATAAAGATAGAACCTCTGATTTTTTTAATAATCATAAATTAAAAATAGATTAAAATAGAAAAGAATATATAATAAAGGCTTCTAGTTTAACTTCAATAAAAGGCCACAATCTTTTTAATATAATAAACTTTATAATACAAAGAATACTTTAGCCTGGAGCTATTCTAATTTGATACTTATTTAAAAGAAAATAATTTCTATCAAGAAAAATTTGAAGCTACAGATAATATCAAAGAATACAATATCTTTTTTGAGGTTCTAGATAAAAAATATTGAATAGATTATCCTGATATTCTAATTAACTTTAAAAGATATATACTTCAAATAATAATTATCAGAATTTAGATTGGATTAGATACTCAAAAAAAAACTCTTTCCCGTTCACTCCACTTTCCTTAAAAATTTTCTTTTTAGGAAATACTCTTTTTCAAAACAAAAGAAAAAGAGTTTTCTTCAATGGAACACACTCCAATATCCTTAGATTAGCAGTACAACACTGTACTCTCTCTGGAGATATAGCTCCTGCTGGTAAAGAAGTTGTAAAGGCCAAAAACAGCTCCCTTTATCCTCAAACAGGTGCCTTGGATGGCAAGTTGAAAGTACTATTGGGGTTATGTGTTGGCTCCTTAATGATCAAAGAAGTCGGGTGGTATTTCTCATACAGCTAGAAGATATAGGCTAACAAACAAAAAAAAATAAAGAACACACATTTATCTGAACAGGTGACACATTAAAAGTACCAAACATTCTCCACTCTTTCTCTACGAACTTTGACTATGGTACAGTATTATATCCCTTTATGTTGGGAGGTATAATACCTTGTGACTGAACTTCATCTGACCATAATGGATAGCAACGGTGGCACACCACTTGAATTAAGAAGCAAATAACCAATTCTAGTTGAAGATTTTTCAGATAGTGCAAAAATCTGCAAGAAGGTGTAAGGAGTATAGGTAGATCTCACACATTTATAGAACACAAAAATTCACATACAAACAGGTTTTAGTAGTTTTTCCTTTGTATGTACAACTAAAAAAGATTTTTTTTTGACCTAGTTAGAGCCAATGAAATTTTTTATTGGATATGACTAGACCACGGCTGACTGTATTTAGATATGGTCTTTTAAGACTCTATTCATCGGATGGTGGATGGAACTTAAAGGCGTATATCTAGGCACGTTAGCACTTCACCAATCTTATTAGGGTTAATGCTTGCATTGGTACTGGTAAGATCAGATAAATGAGGGGCAACAAGCCGGCCGGTAGACATAGTCTTAGGTAGTTTAGCAAATAGTCCAGTAGGCAAATTTGTATTAAGCGAATTTAAAGTTCTACAAATCAATATTTAATAAACAAGGCGTATACCAATCGTGTTAAAAAAAAATTTAGATTGGATTAGATAATTTAAAACTAGTAATAGAATTTTCAGTTCTAAAGATCCTATTCAATATATTGATTTATTCCATAGAAGTAAAAAATTGATATAACTGGATAAGGCTATAGGTAAGAAAGCAGATTAATTCAAATAGATTTTATAGTTATATAATTAAATATAAATAATTTAATAAAAGATTATATATTACTAGTATTCTTTACTTGAAAAAAATTTTTTTTTGAATAATAAATTTATTTATAAAATTTGAAATTTAAAAGTTTATAACTTTATATTTTTTTTAAAATATAAAAAATTATTGAAAATAAAAAAAACTTTCTCCTGATCACATCCGTTTTGCTTAAAATTTTTATATATAGTAATTTTGATTAAAGAAAATATTTTACACTTTTTTTTATCACAAGTGAGTTTCAGCTTAAGGATTCAAAAACACTAAAAACAATTGATGCAGTAGAATGAAATTTCTAGTTGAAATCTACTTAAGTTTAGGAATTTTGTTTATTCTTCAGTTGTACAGAGAAAGGCTCATAACAGTATACTTTATTTTTTGGTTCTCTTGTAATCCAAATCTTTTATTATCATAAAAACTATTCTTATTAATATTATTATATTTATTAAACCTATAAGCACTTTTCAAAAAACACATTCAAACAAAGTTATAAAATCTAATATTTGTTTCAATATAACATTCACATACTTTTCTATTCTGATATTATTTACTTTGCTACTCAAAAAAATTTATAATCTTTTTCAATCTCAAAAACTGAAATCAGTTTTCTTTTTCCAATTAATTAATGCCTGATAATTATTTAATCAAAATTTATTATATTATCCAAATCAAAATAATAAAACTGATTTAAATCAATTTGTCAGTTCAATAGCAACAATAATAATAACTGGCTTAAACCAGTTTATTAATCCAACAATAACAATAACAACAATTATAACGATAAATAACTTTAAGTATATTTTATTATCCATGAAAACAAAAATTATATCAATAAGTGAAAAAGAATTGAAGAGTCAGAACAATAAGCTTGGCCAGGGGTTCTTTTGGATATAGTTTCAAAAATTGGAATCACATAGACTCGCATGGACTTGTATACATATAAAAAACATAAGTGGGTTATAACCCATCTATTAAATTTACTATAAGAGTTGAAATCGAATGGAATCAAATACAGAATCATTAGAATCCTTACTTTTGGAGATATAACTTTTATTTTTACAGATTTTATAATTTATTTAATATAGTTTCAGTTTTAATTACTTTTATTTTTTTTTCCTTTAAATTTTCTAAATATAAAAGCTTTTTTTTTTAATAGAAAGGTATAATCACTATTTAGTCTATATTTAATATCAGTATTGTTTTAGATTTCTTTTCTTTACTAATTAAATATAGTATATATAGGCAAGCTAGTATTTAATTTATCAAAATATATAAGAGATATTGTTTCTTTTTGAAATGTATATTATAGAATATATGAATAAATAAAGAGATAATGTTTTCCTACTCAAAAAAATTTTTTTAATTAATAATAAATTTTGAAATTATTTATTATATAATATTATTTAATAATATTATTATAATAGGATTATTAAAAGATCAATAGATCAATAGTATAGTGAATAATACTCCATGGTTTTTAAATATATGTTCCTAATTCAATACTTATAGAAGATAAAATACATAAATTTATTTTTTATTTGTAGGTTTACCAGTTTTTCTATAAATGTCATATCTAAATATCCAGATCATAATCAAATTTAGTTAGGCTGCATGAAGATAGGATTTCTGATCTTTCTAATGATTATGAGCTGAAAACAGTTTGAAGCAAAAAAGATTATATAAGAAAAAACTTCTGATTTAACTTTGATAAAAGTTCATAAAAACTTTACTTCTCTAATATAATAGACTTTATAATATAAAGAATATTCTAGCCTAGGGCTATTCCAATCTGATACTTGCTTAAAAGAAGAAGACTTCTAAAAAAGAAATCTAAAGCCACAGGTGATAACAAAGAGTATAGTATCTTCTTCGAGGTTCTAGATAAAAAATATATAGATTATCTAAATGTTCTAATCAATTCTACAAGGTATATAATATAAAAACTTTACTTTTCTAATATGACAAATTCTATAGCATAAGAATACTCTAGCCTAAAACTATTCCAATCTGGTACTTGCTTAAAAGAAGAGAACTCTTAAAGGAAATCTGAAAGCATAAGTAATAATAAGAAGTATAAATATTTTTTTTAAGGATTTAGATAATAATAAAAAGTATAAGTATCTTCTTTGAAGGTCTAAATGAAAAGTATACAAGTTATTTGGATGTTTTAATCAACTCTGTAAGGTATAGGCTCTTTGACAATAAGCAGCCACAAGGTTGTTAAATTTGGACTTAATAAGTTAGGTGGGTTTAAACTGGTGACAAGACTTTTCATTCTTGAATTTGTCCTATCTAGTATATGGGCCCATTTCTATAGTGATAAGTTTATATAGTTGGATTAAATAGGTGATAGGAATGGATTAACTTAAATAGATCTTTGATGTAATGTAATTGAATATAAATAACTCAATAAAAACCAGTATGTCTAGTATCTTTCACATTAAAATAATAATAATAATAATAGGATTATTAAAAAATATTTAGATTTAAATTTATTATATATACAATTAAGAATATTAATTAAAAAAACATTGAAATATTATTATTAACAAATTTAAATCAATTTGATTATTATTAATTAAATTGCTAAATTTAAATAATTGAAAGGATTTAATTAAAACAAGTAAAAAATTCAATAACTTTGTTTAAATATAATTTTAGAAATGAATTTGTAATATTAAAAATCAATATAAAGATAATATTAATAAAATTTTTATGTTTTAAGCTTATAGCTTATGTAACATACAGTATATAAAAATCAAAATAAAAAGTATTTTTTCAAAAAAAAAATTACTGTAAAATTTTTTTCAAATAATCAATAATTGATAAACGAAAGTTTTTAAAATTCAATATAATAATTTTCTAATCATTATAATAATAATAAAATCAATACTGTATATAAATATTAACATTGATAATATGATGTATTTATAGTTCGAATCAAATTTTTATAAATTTTAATTTCAAATTTTTATAATTGCAATTGAAATTATATGATCAATATGTTATGATTTTTGGTTAACAAAGTGTACCATAATACTTATCTTTATTTTACAATATATATATTTTAAATAATAATTAAATATTAAGATATTTAATTATTAATGACGCACTTTCACATTACGACCTCATCCAGTAAATCCCTATGAATATCTAGCACAAGTCTTAAATGCCTTCCGTAATGTTGATCGTGATTTAAACATTTAACCATCTTCGACCCATCGCCATCATCATCACGTCTATGCTCTTCATCCTGTTCAACAACATTGCAAAAGAAATTGTCTTTCCGTAATATAGGCAAGTAAAGCTCATAAGCAGGCATATATCTATCCACAAAATCATGAACTTGCTCGTCAGTCATTCCAAGTTCCCCTCTACTAATTCTATTTCTCTCCTGTTCCAATCTCCATTGGTACACAAAATTAATGTCCTGTGCATCTATATGAATAAACAAATCGAGAAATGGATACCATTCTTCTTCGTATCTTTTCAAATTTTCATTTATCATTTCAAGATGGGAAAGAGGATGGGACGTTAACGTGTATGATGATGGTGTTTCTAGAGCCCTATTATATGCCAGTTCAAGTTGTGCTTTACTCAAATGTTTAAACCCAAGTAACCATCCCTCAAAAAGAATAATATCAAATGGTGGCTTCACTTGAATCCAACTATCCCTCTCGGCACGATCTCCTCGACCATGATTCAAGGACTTATTGTAGAAAGGAATTGTTACTTTATTAAGATCACCAAAATCATCCATGTTAACTCCATGTTCAGATTTATTACGAAAATAATTATAAATTTCTTGGATCCCACACAAATCTCGCAGTGTATTGGCACCTAGCAAGATATCATGGGTACCGGGCTCTCCTCGGTATTCCAAAAGTTTATTGTCAGGATTTCTCTGTGAAAGTTTTGTTTGATCATTGAAAGTAAGATAAAAATCGTCAATTGAACAACAAACAGCTGATATGTTGTAAGAAGCTTTTAGATGTTTCGCGATTTGACCAACTATTGTTGTTTTTCCTGTTCAAAACATAAAACCGGTTGACTTATGGAAGAAAGAAAAAATGTGTTAGACGGGTTACTGACCACATCCTTGGAGTCCACTTATACCAACTATTAATGGTTTTGATACATCAATTGGGAATTTTCGCAATTTATAAAAGTTATTTAAAATAAATTGTGAAATTACGTGAACCTTTGATGTCATTATGGTATCGGGAGTTGGGTATACGAACTGTGCATCTATGTATTTAATTATTACATTTGCAAAACGCCACGGTAAATCAACTTTGGATGGCTTAGCAGTTTTTTTTCCTATTTTCGGTGGTTTATAATACGTGATCTGCAAATTCGTAAATTTTACTACGATTCTCATCACGTGATTAAAAATACGTAAGGGTTTGCATATAAGATATGTAAGACGTGTAAGATTACGTAATATACACAAGCGAACGCGTTATCTCTAATATAAATAGG